TTCGTATTCGTTACTGTCCCACCACAGTACTTGCGCCTGTCAAATCGAAATATATAACCTCTTTATTCTTTCTAATCAACCTTTCCTGGATACAATAAAAGTATATCTTTAAAAGGTAATGCATAATAGAAAAGATGCACAAAGTTCATTAGCACAAGAAATAGGTGATGTTAGGTGATCGACTTGAATACTCATCGAAAGTTATCGATCGAATTGGTACGATACATGCCACCGCCCTACGCCATATTTATATTTAAGTATGACGCGAATTTCAATATGTCATTTGTTTTTTAAGTATAAATGATATATATTCTAGTTACTATGACGTCATACTTACATATACTTATGCAATCACAATAATATATTATATATGTATTCCTATGTATTATTATATAAAAAATTCTATTATTAACATCATTTATTAAAAATACACTACAATTAATATCTAGTAAATAAAAATAGCATAAATAAATATAATTTAACAAAAAATAACTTTTTTTATAATACAATATTCTTCTTAATAATTATTCTTTACAATTATTACAATTTTTGAACCATAAATCTTAGTATATTATTATATAGACAATTTGATTTCAATTTATTTACATATATTTATATATTTTTATTTCATACATATAAATATAATATTTGAAAATAATTAATTACATAAAATAATTATAACATTTTATATCGTATAAGAAAATTACATTTAAATGTATTAAATTTAATATTAATAAAAAATTTATAAAAATAAATTATGTTAAATTAATAATAGAAAAATATCATTTTATAAATTATGATACATTCACAATGTCACTATAATAAATTTGAAAGATATATATTAAGTCTTAAGAATCATGCTTTATTAACGATCAAAATGCCATCACAGTTCTTTACAAATATTATAAGTTGGTCAACTTGTTACTGTTTTTATGTATCTAGTAAAAAAATTTGAATAAGAATTGTGGAATTTACTTCATGAAATTTCATCGTACGTATAAAATTATCAATCGTACGTATAAAATTAAATATACAATCAATATATATTATCAATATATATTTAAAAATTAATTTATTTAATATCAATTAATTTATTTTATTTAAAATATTTGAAAATATTATTTATTAATATATAATTAATATTATTTATTATACAATTATACAATAATTTAGTAGTACAATTACAAATTGTAGTATTTATTTAATATATTAAATTTCATCAAAAATTCATAAATATTTTTGGTTTTATATGTGGTTTTATATTATGATATATTATGATGTAATAAAAAATTGCATTATATAATTTTTTGTAATTTATTCTTTATTATTTCTTTTTTTATATATGTATTGAAAATATTTATGGTCCATATTAATCATAAATATAATTAAAACACATATAATGGAAACTTTATTTGTATTTGAAATTTACCATATTTCAATATGAAATTGAAAACAGTCACATATTTATGATATAGTTCTTTTTATAAAATTTCTAGTTATTTTTAGAGTTATTTAAAAATATGAATTTATTTTTCATGGATAATTAATACTAAAAAATTTATAAATTATGATTTTATAAATTTTTTTCTTTTTATTAAATTTAATTCTCTAAATATTTTTTATTTACAATGATTAATTTTGATTAATTAATATAATAAATACATTCGATTATTTCATTTAATAAATTCTACTTTTAATCAAATTTAATTATTCAAAATATGTTGAAATTAATTTTATTTTTATAATTAAATTTTGAGGATAATATATTTTACTATCATAATTGTACTCGTATCGTATTTTTAAAATCAATCATTTTTGGTATTTCGAACAATACATCATGAAATAAATAGATTTATATTACTATTTATTAATTTTTTTTTAAATAATATAAAAAATAATATTTATTAATAATTATTATTATGTTTAAATCAATGTTGTGGATTTTAAATCTAAAATTTCTTTTTAATAATTGAAAAAAAATATTTAAATTATAAAAGGAAATTTATTGGTTATAAATTCAATAATGATTAATACATATATATAAAGAAACATATAAAAAATATAAAAAAAAATACATTAATATATTGAATAAAAATGGATTTCTATATTGAATTAACTATGGATTAGTTATATATGATCTTTAAAGAAAATAAATTTCTTATTTCTTGAAATTAACAAAATAGTTCTATTTAATGTATTGTATATATGTTTAGATGTATGTAGGTAAGCCGGCTCTTTGATTTGTCAGGACGTCAAAGCAATGCCACGTACTAGGCTTTAAAGTTGATTCAGCATACGCTCTTACTGAAGAAGATTACGATACATTTAATCATATAACTTCGTAGAACGCGTATCTCGAAGCGTTTAAGCATTTTTTATATTTGTGTTAAACTATTATCTTGTATAGTGCGTGAAAAGAATTCGAATTGGACAAATGAAATATGAACTCTTTCAAAATGTAATATTCTGTAAGTAAAGTTTAATTGCGTTTTATTTTATATGATTCATTCATTCATTAATAAATAGTTAGAAATATAAAAATATATAATAATCATTTATCATGATGTCAATATAACCTATGTTAAATTATGTCAAAGAAAATATTTAGATTTAAAAAAATATATGTTTGCTTTTATTAAGTGTCTTAATACAGAAAAAGAAATATATATTTGATTCAATATATATATCTATTTTTTTGAAATTGTTGATTTCTAAAATTACATCTAAATTTATTATATTATTTATTTTCTAAATTTATTATTATTATTATTTATTTATTCAATTTCAGAATGTAACAATAATGAGAAAAAGAAGTTAACTTTTTTAATTTAAAATTATTCTGTAAAATATCATATGTATGATATATTCTCGGGGAATTCCCTTGCATGCAGTTTCATAACCGTGACCATGATAATTATCGAAATGAACTAAAAAAAGAAACGATATTTAAACAAGGATCGAAGATCAGTTTATATTATGAACAATTCTATAGTCTGTATCAAGTGGTAAATGATAATCTAGATATTAAATTTCACAAAAGATTTCTCGGAATGTGATGGAATTAAAATTTTTATATAGATTATATCGGTTCTATCGTATATATAGATAACAATTATTTTATAATTATAAAGATACATTGTCATTTAGTTAAAGTTTCATTAAAAAAATAATATTATTTTTATTTTTCATGAATGTACACAAATTTAATTATACAGCATAGAAAAATTTTCCGTATTCATTAATCATGTTTTATCTCACAACATTTTTTACATTAATGTCTTTGTTATAACATTCGTTATGTAAAAAATGGTAATTCCATGTATGAGTTCATCGAATTTAAAAGAAAATCCAAAAGGAAAAAACTCATGAGAAGAAATAAATAGATTGAAAATTTTTAAATATTAGTCATTTAATTTGATGAGCTAAGAAGCATCTCATTATCAAAACAAATTTTTAAAACAAGTCACTTGGAATAAATTCTAAATTTTCGAAAGAAGAATATTTATAAAAAATATTTATTTATGTACGTATGAAATATCAATATTCTATTCATAACTTTCATTAATTATATTTTTTATAATTATATATTTAATTATTTTTTTATATTTAAATATTTTATATAAATTATATCTTATTTTTATACTAAAGAAGATATTTTTAATTTAAAATTCTTATCAAATCTCAAAAAGTTTAATCTGAATTATTTATTATAGCAACAAGATTGTTGTATAGAATAGGAATGACAATGTTCCTTCAAGAAGAAATTTTTACAGTAATTTAATGTCGCTATAATATAAACATGATATATTATATTTTGGAAATAATAATCAATGTATAAATATAATAAATACTGTCAAGAATCTTGACAAGATAACATTTAAAACAATAGAATATTGTACTAATTTTAGGATACCAAATTGAATATTTTAAAAATAGAAAAAATATTCGAAAATTTCTTTGACATTCGAAATCATATTAATGAACTGATTATTAATCTGATTGTTTTCTTTTGATAATGTCGTCTTATCTCTTTCAGGAACCGATTTATGATTGGCGATCATTTCATTTTTTCATTTTTCACGTGTATTATTACACATGGATATTATTATACAATTCATCATTACTAAATTCTTTTATATATTATTGGCATTAGAATTGAGAATAGAAGCATATAAAATATTTTCCTTTTTATATAAATAATATTTAAGATATCATAATGCTATAAGTCAAAATAATATTTTAATAATTTAATTTTATAACAATATTTAAAATATTCATCCTCGATAGATGCCATAAATTCGATGTTTCAAAAAAATCAATTAAAAAAAAAGTTAATTAAGATGTAAAATGAGAAACAGAATTAAATTTTTAAAATTTTTTTGAGAATTTTATTCTATTCTTTTTTTTCTTAGAAAAAAACACTGAAGATGCACAGAATAGTCGTAATATTTTAGATATTATAATATGCTCTTCTATTTATAAATACATTAGTTGGAGATAACTTATTTTTATCGAGAATGAATCGATATTTATTTTTTTGATATTAGAAGAAATTTTCAATTCTGAAGAATTCATAAAAAAAATTCATCCAGTTTTGTGACAAACAATCGTACAAATTAATCGAATCAATTGAATTAATAATTTTAAATAATAAAAAATAATAATAATAAAATCTTTATTACGTTTTATTTTTTTAACACATAAAAATCTAAATTAAATTTATCGAAAATTGAATTTTAAAATATATATTCACATTATCATTGTTGATAATTGTTAAATTAAATATTCGAAAAATTTTCTATTATTATATGACTTATTCTTAATTATATATGATAATCGATATAATATGTAATGTGTAATAAAAATGATTAATGATTAATGTGTAATAAAAAAACAAGAAATTTAATCTATGATAATAATATAGATATCAATTGTAAAGATATTTATTTATCTGATAATTAATATTATCGTAGCTTTTAACAGTTTTTATATGTTTGCAGATGTTTAAACATTTAAATGGAAGGATCATCATTCTATAATAAATATCTGGAAAAGAAAAAAACAATAATATCTTAAACGTAGAAAGGTAAGCAATATTCTTCTTTAAATTTTTATTAACATTCTAATTTTTAATTAATATTATAATTTTTTGAAATACATTGATAGAAATTTATTTTTTCTTTTTCTTTTTCAATCGTTTCTATCGGATGATGTTAAAACATACAAATAAAAAGAATTAATAAAATAACAAGATCCACGATGCAGTTGGAAGAAGAATTAAGATTATTGAATATTAATACATGTGTCAAATGTACTGGAGAAAAGAAACTGATTTACGATTGTTTAAATAAGGATCAAAAGAAAGTATATAACAATATATGCAATTTATTTAAGAAAAAAGATAATGCAATTGTTGTGATTAACACTCCAAGCGGGACCGGTAAAACATTTCTTTTATCTACTTTCGTTGCAAATTACGAGAAACCTGTAGCGTATATTACATTCAGAAAAGACCAAGCAAGTGAAATTTCATTGAAGAAGAATAAAACATACACGTATATATCTTTTAGTATGCATTATTTCAATCTATCATATTATGATGCGATTCAAATGTTTAGTTCGTACGGATATGACCAAGTCGAAGAACTTCATAATTTAATAGTATCATCTAAAAAGTTTGTCTGTGAAGATGCAAGTATTTTTATTATAGATATGTATACTATATCATCGCCAAATATGTTACTTTTGTTATATATACTATCACTTAAACATCGACTGCATTTAATTTTTGCTGGATATCACATGCAATTAAATGGAATCAATAAATCTTCATATCATAATGAAAATAATTTTCACATCATTCAAATATTTAACGATTTAATGATAAATCAATTAACTAATACACGAACGTGTGATGCCGTGCTTGAAGATAAATTGACGTGTTTTCGTAAACTTATTCAAAAATTTCAACCTATTGGAAATATCCAATTTTATTATAATTTGCGTTATTTCTTTTATTCTCTTTTTCGATCAAAATATTTCACTGAGGAACGTTTTGATACTGTTTACATAGCTCAAACTCATCGTAAAATTACAATGCGTTTATCTCGTTTTATTAAATATTTGCAGTCGATAGAAAAACCGTATGTCGAAGCGCCATATTTTTATTATAATTCAAATCATGATTGCATCGTGCCACTTTCGAAACGCAAAGAACGAAGAATGAAATTTTTTCCCACTCTGATATTAGTAGAAGGATATAAATATATATATATTAATGAAGATGGTGTTAACAATATTGTTGTATTGGAAAATATAATATATGAAGGTATTAAAATTAAATGTTTAAGAATTCGTTTTGAAAATAATCATGTTAAAGAAATCAAACAAATCAGACTTAATTATTATCAGATTTTACCAGCCTATCGTCTTTGGTTATTAAAGAATGTTATACATATAGATGAATTATGGCAATTTCCTTTACGTCCTTACGCGCTGACATATCATGCTGCTTTAGGACGAACAATTGAAAAAATAAAAGTAGAGCTAAATATTGAGCATTTTGCCAATTTTTTGTACATTGGTCTTAGTTGTGTACGTCACGAATCTGATATCTATAAAATTCATGATGAACAAAATCTTTTAAGTTACATGGTAACGGATTATATGGAAAATGTACGAAATGATACTGAATATTATTACAATTGTCCAATGATAGAATATAATAAACAAGAAATTTTGGCATGTATTACTAATAAAAAGCCTAACAAGTTTATAGATAATATTCATTGGACAACTGTGAATTCTGTGGATTTATTTGAAAAAAATATAGTATTTTTACGTATTGCACGTAGTGTATATCAAGAATCATTATTTCAAAAAAAAGAAGTAAATACACCATTGATGCAAATTACAAAATTTGTTAAAAATAATCCAAATGTGATACTTGAAACGATTAAAATGGCAAGTGTCAATGAAAATAAAAACATTAATAATAATAAAAATAAAAAAAAAAAAATGAAGAAGAAACAACAGAAAAAAGAAAATAAAGAGTGCAAAGAATGTGAATCATTAGTTTATTTAAGAAATGAATATCATCGATGGCTTGTTGCAACTGAAAAAAGCGATTAAAAATTTGCGAGTAAACATAAAAAATTGTTATTTTAATTTTGAAATTAATATTATTGAAAATATTAATTTTTTTAAAGATATAATTTAATATTTTTTCATTTACTAAAATTCATAATATGTCATAGAATTAGCTTTATATTTGATTTTTTATATTTTTATTCATTATTTTTTTCATATGCATATAACTTCTATAAATTAAAAAATTTTTGATATATCTTATTTTTATAATTATAATATATAAAAGATATATTTATATAATATAAAAGAAATATTTTATATTCTTATATTCAAAAATATATTTTTATATCATAATTTTTTGCCATTTTGAAGAAAAATATTGTTTTTTAGTTATATATACACATATATTATA